TGCCCTCCTGCGCGCCGCTCGCTCGCCGGCTCCGCTGGGCTCGGTCTGCGCGCTGGGCGGCAGCGCCGAGGACTTGCCCTTACATGTCCCGCCGCCGCCTCCCGCGCGGCGCATTCCTGCCCCGCCAGCCCGCCCCCCCGCGCCGCGCGCCCGCCCAGGCAGAGCCCCGGAGGCGGAGCCGGCCGGGGGCGCCGGCGGGAGGGCTGGTGCCGGGAGGGCACCGCTTACCCAGCGGCGCCGGCCTTCGGGCCTCCGTCCGCCGCTTCTCGGAACCTCACTGCTCCAGGCCTTGGCCGCTGCGGGAGGTGGTGGAACAGGAGGAGGGGGTGGCTGCCCGGGACGGGCGTGGGCCGGTGCCGCGGCCTCGGTCTCGCAGTGGCACCGGTTGGGACTTGCATGGTGGGCGCCAGGCAGCTGCTGGATGCTTCCGGACCGCGGGGGGCCTGGCCCCCCAGCCTCTGCCCCCTGACCTAGCTCGGCCAGCTCCCCCCTGGCGCTGTGCAGTCAGGAAAATGGGGAACATCCTGGGGTTGGAGTGGGGGCAGTGGGAACGCAGCCGACGTTGGGTTCCTCCCCTAGGGGCAGATTTCTCCGTAAGGGCCCTGGGGAGGCTGCCCACCGCTGCCTGCTGGCCCGATGGGCTTACCCCTTCTCCCACCCACATCCCCAGCTAGAGGAGGACACGCAGAAGCAGCCAATGTGAACAGAGGAGAGGAACCTGGAGGCCACTTGGTGGAGAAGGGTCCCCATCATGTCCTAGAGATGTCACTGCCTGCAGTCCGCTCCACCACACGCACTAGGAGGGCCCATGGCTCAGCCGATGTGGCCCCAGGCCTGGTGGAGTGTCCCCAGGCGTGATGCTCCCCCTCCTGAGAGAACGGACGTTTTCCTGGACTGAGTTGCAGGAACGTGGACGAAGCGGCGGAGGCCTTCCCCCCTCTTCTCGGAAAGAGTGTTGTGTGAAGACGTGAGCTTTGCCGAGTTGGGTTCAGACCTCCGCTCTCCCCGGCCCCCACCCCGACCGCTGTGTCCTGCCCACTGTGGGCAGCTTCACTGTCCTGAAGTCTCCTCATCCGTCATACGGGAGGATGACTTTATTCTTATCTCATGGCTCCTGATGGGTAAGTTAGACACTGTTTGTGGAAGGCCAGAGAGGCAGGGCTTGGCCACTCAGAGCCTCGACAAACATGGTTCCTGCCCTCCCCCCACCCCTACTGCCTCTAGAGGACGATGGGGACCCAGGCCGGGCGCTGCAAGATGGCGACTGTGCCCACCAGGCCCACCAGGCCTGGTCCTCCAGGCCCTCTCTGTCTTAAGGGGTCTCTGGTCGCTGACGTGTTAATAGCAGATGATTATGGGACTAATGTGATAATGGCAGCAGGAAAGCCTCTTTGTGCCCACCCCCAGCGCTCCCGCCTTCCTGCCCAGTGTGGCGGGGTGCCCTCCCCTGCAGCACCCAACCCAGGAGGTGTAGGGACACCTGTCAGTGTCCCATCCACAGTTCTTCAGCCCGCGAGCTGCGGGAACATCCCCCACATACAAGGGACAGCTGACTCCCTAACCCCCTCTGGGAGAGAGAGCAGGCAGCCAAGACAGGTGTCCCTTGAGGCCCAGAGGGCGGCAGTGCCCAAGCCCCAACTTAGGGACCCCCAGCGTTGCCCTTTGTGGCTCCTCTCTCTAGCTGCACACCTGCCCCATCCCTCCATGCGGCCTCCTGAGTGCCCCAGCCTCAGGGCACAGTCCCGCTACCACCCAGAGCTCTGTCACCGAGGGGCCAGGGCCCTAAGCCAGGCTGTGCTCCTGCTGGCCCATCTCTGTCCCTTCCTGCTGCCCTCCCCCTGGCCGGGGACTCTTGATGTTCCCTCCAGCTCCAGGTTCATTCGCGGTCATGCGGGCTTTGAAAGGTCACGCGGACTTTGAAAGGTCACAGAGCCCGCTCGCAGCTGTCTGAGTCCCCTGATGGATAGGCATTATTATCTTACTGAGGAGAAAAATGAGCCTCAGAGAGGTCAAGCCACCTGGAAGGGGTCACGCAGCTTTGTAAATGGCAACGCTGGGACAGGAGCGTGGAGTGGCTGAGGCCGCTCAGCTTCTGTGGGTGACACCACGCACACCTAAGCACCGACAGCACATGTCCCCAGCGGCTGTGGAGGGAGGTCCTTGGAACCTGGGAGTCCTGCACTCCATTCTCATGACCTCCGGGGACTAGGGCGGCTGACTCATTTCTAAATCATTCCCCAGGACTGGCGTCTTGCTGGGCAGCCCCACCTGGGAGAGGCTCGGGCCCCGGTGGATTTCTTACTCGGGCCTTTAGAAGGATCAAGACACCTTGGAGAGCCAGGGGGAGCCGTGCACTGGACATGTCTAGCTAGGTCTGAGCCGTCCCGCGTGTGCAGCAGGGAGCGTGGGCCCACACCAGGGGCTGGAAAGGAAGGTGGGCGTAAGGGGGAGAGGCACAAGTCATGCAGCTTATGATACATCCCACTGCAAATTCTGTTTAGTGGTCATTCGTTGTTAGACGCCATCTGTAGAAAAAGCATTGAGGAGAGCCTGACTTACAAAATAGAACGGCAAAACTTTTTAAATGGCAGAAAGATGATGTCACTCTTTTGCTTGCAATCCACCAGAGCCTTCTCATCTCTCCCTGAGTAAAGCCCGTCAGTGATGCTGCCCTCAGCCCTACAAGGCCTGCCCACCTACGAGGCCTGTCTTACTCTCTGACCCCACTGCCTGTCGCCTCACGTCCAGGCAACCTGGGTCTGACTCCCAGTGGGGAGGCGGTGTGTGCGGTGCACCAGTGCTTCTCAGACTGAACCGTGCAGACAGGTAGCCTGGGGAGCTTGTAAATGCAGTTTCTGATTCAGGAGGTCTGGGGTGGAGCCTGAGATTCTGCATTTCTAGAAGCTTCCGTGAAACACTGGTACTATTAGAACATGGAACACACTTTAAGTAGCAAGGGTCTCAAAGTGGGCCCCCGGCAGCAGCGCCCCGGGGCTGTGTTAGAAAAGCACATTCTAAGCTCCACCCCAGCCCTGCCAAGTCAGAAACTGGGCTCGGGGCCCAGCGACCTGGGTTTTCAGGGAGCCCACCAGCTGGTGCAGAGGAAGGTGAGGGCGCTGGTCTTACATCCCCAGCCCTGTGACACCTTAAACAGGTCCCTCCCTGTCTCTGACCTCAGTACCCTTGTCCTTAAAATGAAACCTCCCTGGCCTGTCTTATATTTGCGAGAAAGCCTGGCTGGTGTAGGGGCTAAGGAACAGCCATATCGTGGGCCCCCCTTTGGGTGTGACAAGAGGAGCCTGACCCACGTTCCCAGGTCCATGCAGTCAGGTGGCCCCTCCTCACCTGGCCAGGTCAGAAACCAGGCCCGCTTCCAGCCCAGCTCCCCCTCCCTTCTGGGCTTCTGCCCGTACCCTCCAGTCCACGGTCCCCCCCTGCCCTCCTCTCCATGGGGGACCCCTGCAGCTGACCTCTCCCTCAGCGGGGTCCCCCTGACCCTTGGCCTTTGATGTGGGGCCCTCTGTTCCAGGGCTGTGGGGTTTCCTGGGATCTCTGTTTCTCTCAAGGGAAGCAGAAGAAGAAACGGATCAAGGCTTCACGTCTCAGGATCGGGGTTTTACGGGCACCATTGCAACAGACCTCAGCGGAGCGGCACTCTGCCGCCGACCGGCCTAGGCTTGCTCATGGGCCTGGCGTTCCCAGTGGAAATTCCCTCCCACGCTCTGCTCTCTAATCGCTTTCCAGCCCAATAACTTTCCTGATTCACCAGGGATCCCTTTGGTCTTGAGAGTGCCCAATGCCCCCTCTCCGATGGGGCTGAGTCTGGGCTTGAAGACATTTGATCTCAGCTTGGGTCTGGCAGAGACCGGACTTGTGGGCTGTAGATTCAGGCTGAGGCCTGTGGAATTTTCCTTTTTCCCATGTCATGCTGGCATCTGGGCGTCCATGTCGTAGGAGCAAAGGGGCCACCCGGGAATGACCCTTGTCCTTGAGGACACTGGGCCGAGGGGCAAGGACATCCGAAGAAGACTGGCTGACACCCAGGAAACTAGTGGCCGTAACCAACCTGCCAGTAATAGCTGTGCAAACCCGGACACAGGTGCGAGTGAGGTGTTCTGTGAGCCAGGCTTGGGGTGAGGCACTGGGGACATACCTGTAGCCTTTCAGTAGAGGCTGGCAAAAACCAGGGGGCGGTGGTGTTCCCATCCTCGGGGAGCATTAGCTCTGTGACAGGCCACGACCATGAGTTTGCAGAAACATGGACGCCCGGTCCTGGACGCAGTAGCAAAGGTGACAGCTTGCATCACAGCGCGTAAGAGTGCATGCTAGTCAGTTGAGGGTAGGTTATGCTCCACCAACAAACCCCAAATCTCAAAGGCCGGACCCAGCAGAGGTTATCCACTCACCCACACATCCTGCATGCTGGCAGGGGAGGTTCCGCTCACGGATCCGGGCCCACAGACCAACTGTAAATGGGTACAGAACAGTGCCTACCTCACGGGGTGACTGAGACTGGGTAAGTTCATACATTTTAGGTCTTCAGTTATGGCAACGACACATGGTAAATGCACAGGACGAGTGAACGATACTCTCAGTTGTGGGGAATGACTTACACAGCGGCTCTTAAAGATTTCTGCCCGCAAGTGACACTTCCCATCTTAATTCAGAGGCCAGAGTGAGCACGTGGCCACATCTCACTTCAAGAGATGCAGAGAAGTGTCACCCTACACGTGCCCAGAAGATGGGGCTGGAGTGTATGTGTGACCAGCTCTGCAGCACTAGCAGTGTGGCTGCCAGGGGACCGGGAGCCCCCTCAGCCCAGGACCAAGCTCATGAACCCTCGGGGCGTCAGGCCAAGGTCAGTGGAGTGGAAATGTGAAGACTCAGGGGCAGGTGCTTCACAAAAGGCACCAGGGCTTGTCCAGGCAGGAGAGACCACGAAGGGCTGGCTGTATTCAGACAGCCCGCTTCCGGAATTTTCCTGGCCTTTGGGGCGAATCTTCCCAGGCCCATAAACTCAGAACGAGAGAGGCGGGCGGGTCCCCAGAGCCTGGCTGCGCCCGTGCGGTCAGGGTCACAGCATCAGCACCACCTTCCCCTGGGAGCTAGCGGCACAGGCCGGGTCTCAGGCCCCACCCCAAGCGCCTGCATGGGATCTGCATTTTAACAAGGTGCCTGGGAGGGAGGTTCCCGCACATCACCGCCTGAGAAGCACTCCTCCAGCGGCGACTGAGGCCAACATCTTCACTTCATACAGGAGACGCTGACACCCAGAGGGGAGGAGGCGGGCCCGGAGCCACACAGCTGGTTCCAACCTTGGCTCCGCAGACTGCCAGTGACGTTGACTAAGTCACCTAAAAATGCACTGGATCTCAGTTCCCTCTTCCGCGATCAAGGGATCATCATAGGACCACTTCACAGGGCTGAGGTAGGAATCAAATAAGACAACGTGTAGACCGGTGCCTGCACACAGTGTGTGCTCAAAGAATGTTAGCTACTGCAGTGGTCCTAGCTCACCGTTCTTCCTCCGGGGCGTCTGCCCCTTCCACAGAATTTCGGTGCCTTCTTCAGGGATGGATTGCTCCCACACGTAATAGCAGCTAAACCCCCACTCTCCCTCCTCCGAGCTCCCGCCTCCATCTGGCTCCTCGGGTCTCGGTCCATCCTCGGCCCTCAGGTGATGCAAACAGGTTGCTAGGGCTCTTGGAGAGGGGACGAGTCCTGAATTGGGGGCTTGGCCGGCCTCCCACCAGGAGGTCAGCTCTCCTCCATCGCTCTTCCCCTCAGCGCAGAGCAGGGCCACGCCCGCCAACTCTGGGAGCGCCCTGGGTCCCCAGCTCAGAGACCTGAGAAAAGAAATGCTTGAATGGACACTAAGAGCCTTCAGCCTTCCTGTGGGTCGGTTGCACGGTGCGCCGTGCGGCAGGTCCGGTTAGCGGCAAACCCGGCGCGCGGGGAGGGGCGCACGGGGCGCCGTCTCGCGCTCCGACCCACAGCGCCACCTGGTGCCTCCGGCGAAGCGGACCCTCCCTGCACGGCGCCACCGCCCCGGCTGCCCCTCCCTGCCCTCAGGGCGCTTCCTGGCCGGTGCCCTTGCCTTGCTGACCTCTGCCTTTATCCCGGTTTCACCCCTCCCCGCCACGGGGCTGCTCTGAAAGACGGGTGGTCCCGAGGTTCATAGCTCGGGCAGGACAGGCAGGCAACGGCCTTGGGCTGGGCTGCAGAGGCCCGCCCCAGCAGCCAGCAGAGGGCAGCCTGTCCCCAATTTTGGGCCCGAAACTCCCATCCCGGCCCCTCCCGCAGCGGGATGATCCCGCGGTGTGTGGACCCACCATCCATCGCCCCTCCTCCCCGTGCACAGTCCCTTCCTGGAGACCCCGCGCGCGCTGGCCAGGGCCCGGGCTGGACCTCGAGAGGTTATCCAGGTGAAGGCGCCCTTGCTCCACCGGGGACTCACCGGTGGTGCTGTGGGGCCGGGGTGCCCGGCAGGCGCCCTTGCATCCCTCCCCTTCTGCTCGGCCAGCGGTCCTCACCTGGGCGGCACGGTCCTCTGAACTGCCGCGGCCGTTACCTGTCACCGTGCGCTTTCCTCTTGGTCCTGTGCACATTTGGGTCCCATTCCCCGTGTCAAGAAGTGGGCGTCGCCAAGGCCACGGGTGGATCCGGTTATCCGGGCATTACACTCACAAGGCTTGTTGTTAAAACGCCTGCTTGCTGTACCTCGTCTTGTCAGTTCACAGCGAGGACAGAGAAGCCCCGCCCCAAACATCAGACAGGACCCCAAAGAGGAAGCCACCCCTCAGAGGAGCTCATTTACAAAGAACTGAGCCTTCCATGGGTGTGGCTGTGGGGGCTGCCATAGCCTGAATGTCTGTGTCCCCCCAAATTCATGTTGAAATCCTGACCCCTGGGGTTAGGAGGTGGGGTCTTTGGAGGCGACTAGGTCATGGGGATAGAGACCTTATAAATGGCATCAGTGTTCTTACAAAAGGGACCCCTGGGAGCTCCCTGGAGGTCGCAGTGAGAAGACCACCAGGACGTGGACCCTAACCTCACCCCGAATCTGTGGGGGCCTTGGACCTTGGACTTCCAGCCTCCAGAACTGTGGGAAATAGATGTGTTGTTTACAGGCCACCAGCCTGTAGTATTTTGTTGTCGAAACCGGCAGGGACCAAGGCAGGTCCCTAAGAGCAAAAGCCGGAGGGGGTAGGGAGGCCCCTGAAGCCACGCCCCCACCCCACCCCCACCCCACCCCTGGGCAGAAGGGAGATGTCTGGATTCCACAGGAAAGTTTCTTTGGCTGAGTTTCCCTCTCATGCTGGGGCTTTCCAAGCCGGGAGAAGTTCCAAGCAGTTTGGGGGCCTTGCTGAGCCCCTCAAATTCCAGTCCACAGAGTTCTACGCCCCGATTGGGGTGGAGGCTGGGCAGCAGGGTTTGGCTGGTCAGGCCTCTCCCGGCAGTGGGGCGCAGTTACATCTGGTGCTGGAGAAAAGCGGGAACAAACCACCTTATTCCTACAGAGCTCCCAGCTACGGCGAGGGGCAGTGACCAGACCAGACACCACAGCTCTGTCCTAACAGCTTTATTGGCCAGATGAGGGATCAGCTTGAACGCAGCCCGTGTCTGCAGCCCTTCCAGGCGATGGCTCCGTCGTGTTCTTCCTGACACTGGGGGCGGTGAGGCCGCCCCTCCCCTTGCTCCTGACCTGGAAGGGATGGGGGTGATGTGGCCAGAGAAGGTCCCTGGGGAAGGCGGGGTGGAAGGCCAAGGCCCCACGTGGGCGGAGGGGAGGGGTGTCCAGAGCAGACAGAAGCTGGGTCTCCCTCCACATCTGGGTGGCGAGCAGGCGTGGCAGGGGCAGGGAGCGGCCTGGGCTGTGTGGGGGCAGGGGAGGAGCTGTCGGCGCAGCCTCAGGACCCCGGGCTAGGGGCAGAGCTACCTACCCTCCGATTTGGGCTCCTGACGAATGGGGGTATATGTTAGGGGTGTTTCACTAGGGCCCCCCATCAAACAGGGAACTCGGTGCTGGGAGGTCAGACCACATTCTGACTTTGGGGTTCTCAGACCTGGGTTCTCAGTTCCCCACAGCCTCCAAGGCGAGATGCTGGCTCCTACAGCCCACGACCCTGTCTGCATGCCTCTCCACCCCCCCCCACCCCCGAGCTGGGACTCCCCAGGCCTGTCCTGAGGGACACCGAGAAGCCCACCCTCTTTCCCGCAGAGGAGTCTTTGGGGTCCGGTAAACCACAGCCTCCCTGGCCCACCTTGGCCCTACCTCCCTCGAAATGTGGGCTCAAAGTCTTGGCCAGTGACGGTGGACACAGCCTAGGAGGCTAAGGGCAGCGGTCGGTGGGGCAGGGGTGGGGAGAGGACCGTCCCATCGAGACCAAAACCACGGAGGCTCCTGCTGGTGGCGGCGGCAGGCCCCAGGCAGGGGGAGCCCCTGAGAGGAGTGGGGCCTCAGGCAGACCCCCAAACCAAAAGGGGTCAGACACCAAGTCCCAGTCACTAGTGACATATGGCAGGTTGAGAGGAGTCCTGGAGGTCGCCGAAGCTGCCGGGAAGGGGGTGGCGAAGAGGGCACAGCGGTGGGCAGGTGTGGCTGGTGGCGGCGACCTCACTCAGAGTGGACCAAGGCCCCTGCTCCTTGCCCGAAGCCAAAGCCCTTGGGCCCAAAGTTTTTAGCGTAGCATCCTGCAGAGAAGAGAGAAGGGTGAGGACACTCCTGCGCCCCCAGCCACCCCTCCCGGCCCCCACTGAGGACACATCACCCCTAGTGCCTGGCCGGGCCTCAGGAGCAGTAGACACCCCGGTATCCCCACCGCTACAGCATCCCAACCCCAGCAGCAAGGAGTTTGTTGCTTGCCCTGCCCCTGAGATGACAGGAGAAGTGTTATCGCTGCGACAGCCCTGGGCTAGGAGTCAGGAACCACTCTGCCCCACCGCTCAGGTGACACCACCTGACTGACCAGGCGGCTTCCTCCTTCTCAGCTCATCTGCTCCGTGGAATGAAGGGGTGCTACCAGTTCTCTGGAGCTGACCCCCAGGCCAGGATTGGTTTCTACTGAGCAAGGACACAACTGCTTAGCCCCCGGAACCGCCTGGCCCCCGAGTTAGAAGCGAAGTACCCACCTTTGCAGTAAATCTCGCCGTCCTTGTCGGCCAGGGTGGTGGACTCCAGGCCTTTGCCACACTTGGCGCACCGGAAGCAGGACTTATGCCAGGACTGGTGGGAAGGAAAGTGTTAGTGCTGCCACCGGGGGCGGGACAGACGTGGGTTTTCAGGTGGTTCCTGCTGGGGTCTCAAACCCTCTTGAAAACCCAGTGAAAACTGTGGGTCTTCTTCCCAGAAAGACGTTCCCACAGAGCTTTGTGTATAATTGCAGAAAGCTCGTGGTCCCTCTGAAACGCACCCTGGGAGGTCTGTGGTCCCCAATTCTATAGCCATGGACTGCAAGTCCTTAGGAGCTGCCCACAGGCCTTTAACAATCAGTTCCGTCCACGTTGGGGCTGTTACCGCCTGAGTGATCTGAGCTCCGTAAGGGCTGGGAGACACAGGGACAATGGGTGACCCCTTCATGGTGGGCTTTGAAATGAAGGGACGGAGTTACAGCCCAGGGCTCAGACTCCCTGGGCAGAGCTAGGGCCAGATGTGCCAAGTGCTGGAACCCACATCTGAGGGGGGGTGTCACTGGCCCGTCCCCTCCCCTTTCCCCAGGACAGCTGGCAGCCACCTTACCTTCCCAGCACCGATCACTTTCTCAGCAGCATAGACTGCCTGGCTGCATCGGGGGCAGCGCTCGGAGCCACCGATCTTCTGGGCAAACTTGGACGCGTTGGGGTTGGTAGTGGGCCTGTGGCCAGGGGCCCTGCACGGGGCGGGACAGGCGGTGAGAGTGGGCACAACCCCGACTCCATCTCTCCCAGCCACCCACAAGGCCAGGGCCAGCAGGGCCTCTAAGGTCGTGCCCCATTTCACAGATGGACAAACCAAGGCTCAGCACAATGTTATCTTCCTTGAAACGTCCCACTTCCCTCCTCAGTCACCTAGTTAAGATGTCGGGATCACGTAACAGCTCATTTGCTAAGAATCGCCTTCCGCTGCCCCCCATTCCCACAGTCTATTACCAGATTCTTTCCGGGAGAAATCTGCTGATAAATAATTTCCACGGGGCCATGACCTTGGCAGAAATGTGGTAACTCATGCATCATTTCCACCCATCCCCCCGGGCCAAGGAACAGGCCAGGCTGACTGCTGACAGCCGCTGTTTACAGCAGGCCAGAGGTCAGTGGGTGCTGGGGACCTAGTGACACCCTATAGCATTTCCAGAGAAGGGACATGACTTCCTGCAGCAGGAGTGACAGTCGGCAGAGAGGCTGGTCTGGCTCAGACACCCACTGGCTGTGGGACCCCTGGCAAGTGGCTGACACTGGGCTGTTTTCCTATCTATGGAAGTAGCAGAGTGGACCCAGTCTTTCTGGGGGCCTCTCAGCTCTGACCCCTCCACGTAGGGAGGCCCTGGCCTGCTTGATTCCCGGGTAGACCCCGGCTCCTCCGAGGGCCTGACACTTAGTGGGTGCGCAGTGAGGACCACAGGGGGTGCTCAGAGCCCTGGGGGGCCCTTGTACTCACTCCTCGTGCCTGATGCCCAGCGACTCCCCCTTGTCCGTGCTGAGTGTGCCTGCGCCCTGCCCGTAGCCGTAGCCCTTGGGCCCATACTTCTTGCCATAGCAGGACCTGCAGTAAATTTCCTCGCCGTGCACGGCCACCGTGGTGCTGTCCAGGTTTTTCTTGCAGACCACTGTTGGGGGGACACGAGCTCCGTGAGTGGGCATGCCAGGAGTGAGCCCCTGCCACCGACACTCGTCCAACCTGCACTCTGCCCTTTCGGGAGAAGCCTGGAGGGAGGCTAGCATGGCATGGAGCTGGGAGGAGACAGGGGAGGGCGTGCACACCGGAACGCGAGGAATGCCGGCCCCCGCCACCTCTCCGGGGACCCCATGCGCCATCCTCAGTCCCCAGCTGCAGGGCACCCCAGGGCCCGAACGAGCAACAGCGTGGGCTGACCCTGGGCTGCAGGAAGCCCGTGAGGGCCGCCTTCCCTCTGCCCTTGACAAAGAGCCCACATGTCTCGACAGGAGGGGAGAAAAAAAGACAGGAAGGAAGGAAGAGAAAGGCGGAGTTTCCCTGTCTCCAGGAGTGGGGTCCAAGAGGGACAATCGATGCATACTGGGAGGCGTGCCGTGATGCGCCCACAAGAAGCGCTCAGCACGTACTGAGCGCCAGCACGGTGTGCTTTGAAATGAGACGCAGGTCATGCTAGTCCCGGCAGCATTCGAAGTTTTCCGTCTCAGCGACCACGGGGCCCCGGGAGGAACCGAGGTCAGACCCTGGGAAGGCTGTCCTGACTCGCGGGGAAGAGACGGAAATGGGGCAGCTGTGGAAAGCCCGTGGGCCTCGGTATCACCCTGCTCATCCCCCGGGGAGCTCGCCCAGCCACCCGAGTAAAAGACAGCTCTGAGCCCAGAGTCTAATCCCAGCTCCGCCCTCGCCAGCTGTGTGACCTCGGGCAAGTTGTCACTATCTGCATTTACGAGTGACACTGAGGCTAGAGAGGCAAAACATCTACCCCAAAAGGCAGCCGTGAAAAGGAAACTCGCTCTTACTTATGACTACCTGCGCACACAATAGGTGCCTAATAAGTGCTGAGCGCTCCTGTTAGCACTAGAGGAAGTCAGTGCCACGGGGCTGGGCAGGCTTTGGGGACTCAGCTTCACACGATGTCCTGTAGTTAACCCGGGGACTCAGTGTGCCCCATGGACTGTATCCTCAAACCCGAGTTTCTGAAGATGCAAACTGCTGGGGCGGCGCTGCTTCCGGTCTCCCTCCCGACATGCTCTCAGCTCAGCTCCTTGCAGCTGGCTGCCGTCCTGCCTTTAAAGGGTCAGCTCCTCTCACACTCCGAGCCCCACGCTGGAGACTTCAGACTAAATAAGGCCCCTCGTGTGCTGCCCTTGAGAACCCCACCTCATTCCTGCACTCCGGGCAGCCCAAATACGGAGCTTCCCACCGCCTCCCCAGGGCTTGGCTCCGAGGACGGAGGGAGAAGGAACAGCAGGCCAAGGCCTCCAACATTCCCTTGTAGGGTGGAAAGTCGGGAGTTGGCCTGGAATTGCTTCCTGTAAGGCCCAGGCTGCACTGGAATTCCAAGACCAGGGAAGGCAGAAAGCAGAGGCAGCATGGCTGGGGCACAGGGGTTCCTTCTGGATGGGGCCCCCAGCAGGAGCCCCAGGAGCTCAGCCAGGGGGGACACCAGGCCCTACAAGCTGGGCCTCTCCAGATGGCTCCCCGCTGTGCCAGCTGAGCCCGCCCTCCAGACCCCAGGTCAAAGCCCCCACTGGTCTCTGCCGCCCCTTGTTCCCAGAAAGCCCTGGCCACCCCACCGTGGGCACCTCCCACACCCTCCCTGGCCCTCTGCCCCCCACCTCCCTCAGGCGACGTGGTCTGGTCACCTGCGGGCTCCACCGAAGACTAAATTCAGGGGAATTTTTTCTTACATAAATTTCTACCAAATAATGTTATGCCAATAAAGAGAGCTATGGGTTCGCTATGCGGGCACGACTGCACTGATCTGTTAATTAAATTAGCATTGATTGTACTTCCGGACGCCACCTGGCTGGGCGAGGCCTCGTGATGCTGTTTGGAATCGCAGAAAAGCGCAGCCCCAGGTATGGGGTCAGCCCCACACCCCACCCCGAGACACAGACTGGTTCTCTCTGCTTCCTGAAGAAAACCAAGGCCCACAAAGAAGTTCAGGCTCCTAGGACTGGCCAGAAGCTGGGCTGGGCAAGGGCCCCGCACGACGTGGCTGTGTCTGCGGCCCGGGCCCCTTTTGGACAGGCCAAGTGTGGGACCAGGGGAAAACTGACAGCAAGCTTCACCCCTCGGGCAAGGAGACACTGGTGTCCGAGGGCTTATGGGCTCCTGGGGGCCCCAGGAGGGGGCTGGTCACAGTTCAGAGAGGGGCATTAGCCTCAGCCTGGGCAGGTCCCCAGCCGAGGGCTGAGCTCTCCTGCCTGCTAATGGGAACTGGCCGTTCCCACTGAGACCACAGGGGTGGGCGGCCAGCCCTCTCCATCCCTGATCCCAGGCCCAGGCCATTCTCAAGGCCTCATCTGTGGCATCAGCCTGTCTACCTGTCTGTCCCAGACCCAGAAAGGGGATATAGGTGCCAAGCTGAGCTGGGTCCAGAGCCAAGGACTATCCGGACTGGTCAGAGGGGCTTCTGGGGACACACTCGGACCCGGCCTGCAGGGGTCTACGGCCCTTAACTGTCCCTCTTCTTTAGGAGGGAAAGTCCTTTGATTCTGTGGGTTGTTCTGAACTCTTGCACTCAAGCTGGACATTTTGCCCTGAACAAGAGAAGTCGCAGCCCTTCCATTCTAAACAACCTACTAAGTGCGCGGTGCCATTCTGGGCGCTAGGAAGAAACCTGGAGCTGCCTCAGACTGCAGGGGCCTCCTGGAGCAGTGCTGGGAGACCCCAGACACAAGACTGTCCCCTGTGGCTGCTGGTGTCACATCACCCCCTCCCAGCCCTGCTCCCAGCCTGACTTTCTACAACTGTTTCTAATACTCAACACCCTCTCACACCCTGTTCCTTCCTTCCTCTGCCACCCCCTGAATTCCTGACTCCCCTCAACCGCCTGTGCTGACAGCCACTCCCCGACAAGCAGGACTGCAGGCAGGGCGCCCCTCGGCCACTTCTAGTCGGTGATTAAGCAACATTTCAGAGCAGAGAGGCCCTAAGGGGGCCTGGCCAATGCCAAGCCCTTAATTCCCTCTGAAAAAATAAACCGCTTAAAAATTCCTCAGTGCAGTGAACTGCTGATAACAAGACGCTGCTGTTTGTGGGTCCTCTGAGGGCTGGAGGCCAGAACGCAGTCAGGCCCCATTCATCAGACACAGCCGGCGGGTGGGCAGGACTGGGGCCCTGCGACCCTGAGCTGGACACTCCCGCAGGTCCACCGGTGACCAGGTGGCCTGGGGCCCCTCTGGGTCCTGTTGTCTGCACCCCACATTGCCTGGCACAGAGCAGCCACAGTCTCTCCCAGGTTTGCTTCACGTGATGGACGAGACCCCATTTCCTGGGCCTGCCAGGCAGCCGGGTCTTCAGCCCCTGTGAGGTCTCTTTGCATCACACCATCCTGCCTGTGTGTGTGTGTCCCGTGTCCGGGGAGTGTCTATCATTTATGGAACACTCACAATGGCTTTCAGTGCAGTATTTCTCTTTCATTTTAATTCTCACAGCCACCCCGCGAAGTAAGTACTATTATCTCCTGTTAGAACGAGAAAACTCCCCCAGAGAGAAATAGACTACCTCGTCCATCAGCACACAGATAATAAAACGGAATCAGATGCACCCGGACAGACCGGACGGGCCCTGGAACCCAGCTTTACTCGGGGTCCCAACACCCCCACTCTGCCTGCCCTCAGGGAAAATGCCTGTGAATGCCTCTTGTAACTAGATCCCCTGCTCTGACCACAGTGAACCTAGGAGAGGCCTCCCCACGTCGCCGCCACTTCCTGGGTGCTCCGAGAACACCCCGGCCTGGGCACCAGCCATGTTCCTGGGCAGCCTGCCCTCTCCGGCTGCTTGGAGTCTGTCGCCCGGTTTCCAGGCTGCGACTGGAGCCGGTCTTGCTCCAGGCTTTCGGGAGTGGATGTCAAAGGCTTTGGCTCCTCGTCCCCTTATCCCAGGCTGTGGGAGCGGAAGGGACGTGAGAGAAGTGAGGGGTGGGGGAAGGGACAGCCAGCTCTTCCCCCAAAGCCGCCTTTTAACCAGGGGTAATTCAGCCTCCCCGGCTGCTGAAACTTTGGGCTAAAAGCGTCTACCGCTTAAGTGGCAGGACTGTGGTGGAGAGAGAAAGAAGAGAAAGCTAAGTGGAAAGTTTTCCTAACCAAGTCTGCACAGCTTGGCGCTTGGCCCCAGGGCCGAGGGCCACCACCCCCACCAGCTCTGGCCGGTTCATCCCCTTTGAAAGCAGCTTCTGCAGGAACAAAGAAGCCCTTAAGTGTTTCCCGCCCCAGCTGCAGCTGCAGCCAAATGTCAAGCTGTTTACATCCCACGGGGCCAGTTCCCCTGGGTGCTGACAGGCCCAGCCTGTGGAGGTGCCCTGCCTGTCTCCATGGCAACCGCAGGGCCCAGCTATACTCACTGCACAGGAAGCAGGGTTTGTGGAAGCTGCTGCCTTCACACTGAACCTCCTCGGCGAAGTACACGGTCTTCTGGCAGACCCCGCATTTCTTGCCTCCTCCCCAGTTTGGCATTCTGAAACTGGACAGAGACGGGTGTTATGGACAGGGCAGCGGGGACGCAGGCTGCCCGGGACGGAAGGCCACAGGCGGGGACTGAGAAGGCCCAGCCCTGGCGGGCACTTCCCCACATCCTCCTCCAACGGCTGCCTGGGGCTCAGCCCGTGGGACCAACAGATAGTCGCCAAGCAGCTGAGCCCTTGTCAGCCCGCCGGCCGCCCGGCAGGACGTAATAAGCGCGAGATACTGACTCCATACGGGAGGCTGAGTAGCGGTAAAACCAACCAGCTGCTACGGCTGCATCTACACGGTCGAGCCTCAGTTGGAGCAAAACCAGCAGACAGGCTTGAATTCATTAAACACAAACGAACTGTGTGAGGTTCACAAGCAGGCAGAGGTCACTTCGATCGGGGATCAGCACAGGGGTGCTTCCTTGTGGGGAAGGGGTGGCCAGGGCCCCCTCCAGCCGAGACTTTCTCCACGCGCAGGGGCCCCTGGACGGGTCCTCATGGGCAGAGGGGGTGGGGAGCCCAGCCACAGGGGCTGCTTGGGAACTTGCTGGCAGTGGACACACTCACTGTTCTTCATCCCAAGGTGCCCACTGTCCCTTCACTGGGGGGCTCCTGAAGGGAGACCCCCACCCATGTGGGATGGCCCAGCCGAGGCGCCCTGGGCAGATTTCCTCCCCAGCAGGTCCCAGGGTCCCACTCCCAGCCCATGTTCCCCTTTCCCTGGGTCCCGCTGGACGTGGGCCCTGAACTCAGTACCTTTGCCCTAAAACTGTTCTTTTGCTGGACGTTTTCATTTTTGCTCCTGGCACCGCCACCCTTCTCTGCCTCACTCAGGAATCTTGTCCCTCCCCCTAGAACGGTGATGAGCCCTTCCCCGTCTCATAGCTTGTCCTGCCCTGTGCACCCCTTTACCTAGCACCCCACCTGCCACTGCATGAGGCCAACTGTCCCCTTTCCAGGTCTGGACCGACGGCTTACGCACATCAAGGACACGCCCCACGGGTAGGGTTTCTCGAACTGCACCTGACTGCTCCGTGCCTTCCTCAGGTACCCCTGGGGCCCGAGCTGATGCCTCATGGTCCCTTCAGCCCCTTTCTGCCCTGAGGGCTCCAGGGGCTGGATGCCTGGTTGAGCAAGGGCTCAGCGCTGCAGACAGATAAGAATGGCAACACGTAAGCACCAGCCATTTCCCCGGCTCAGGGAGGTGCCCCCGTCCTCAGCTCCACGGCACGGCCTGGACACTTAAGCCAACCACAGAGGCCCGTAACCATGGCGACCCATTCCCTGCGAGGGGCTACTTGTGGAGCGGCTGTGAGACGCGCGGGTAGGTCTGCTGGGGAAAATGTGCCCGTTGCCATGAAGTCGCCCAGGTTCTCTTGCACCTTCGCTCTGATGAGGTAACTAGAGGTGTCTACTAGAACTCCTGTAGCTGATGACAGACTGCAGCATGCCTACTACATGCCAGACGGTGTACATCACCCCATTTCATCCTGCCTACCACGTGCCCACGCTCCTCACAGACAGGAGAACAAGGCTCCGCCAGGTCACCCGCTTGCAGTCACTCAGCTAGACGCGCTGGAACTGGCATTACCAATGCACACCAGCCACGCCTGAGTCTTGTCACCCCGGCCGCCATGCTGCCAGCCCACTGTGTTTAAGAGTGCCAGCACACGGTGGCACACAGGACACCCGTGCTCAGCCCTCTCCAGTCCCTGAGCCAGCGGGGCACTCTTCCATGCCCCAGGAAACCCCACGGGAAGAAAGTTCCTCTAACCCGTGGTTGGGAGCCAGTGCCAAGCAGTGTTTTGTTCCCGGACACAAAGGCCCTCTCCCTCTGGGGGACCCACAGCTCCCCACAGGCCTCCCCTTCTGTGTGCTGGCTCCACATCAGGGCTCACATCCAGCAGGGCCCAGGGACCTGCCAGAGAGGAAAGCTGCCCAGGACGCCTCGATGGGGCCATTCCTTTGAGCCTGGCCATGTGGTTGGGGGGTCTCCCTTCAGGAGCCCAGTGAGGGGAGGAAGGCTGTAGCACCTTGTAGGGAAATGAGTGTGTCCACTGCCAGCAAGGTCCCAGGCAGCCCCTGTGGGTGAGCTCCCCAACCCCTCTGCCCATGCGGATCCGTCCAGGGGAAAGTCTCTGCAGGTGCTCTCTTCACCCCACCTCGCCTTTCTGCCCAGCCAGGTTCCCTCTGTCAGGAGGCTGAGCTGCCTACAAGGAAAGCTGCCTCAGTTCTGGGGTGCCGAGGCCTCCTTCTCCACCGCCTCCCCAGTTCTGGGGACAGAGGCCCTGCAAGACACTGAGGACAGCCGTCCCCCAGGTCAGAGTTCAGGGGTGCAGCTCAGTGGTGAGGATGGGGTCTGAGATCACGCCTTCCTGGCTGAAAGGTCATGGGCAAGCTACTTTCCCCTCCGAGCTCCAGCTCGCTTGTCTCTGAGCTGGACGATACAATGACTCAAGCCCTTGTTCTGAAGATTGAAGGGCAACATATGGAAGTGACAGCCCAGTGCCTGGCACGCTCCCCGTGCCCATTTCTGCCCGTCACTACCAGGACTGCCTCCAGGAGCAGCGCAGAGGGCAGGCTCATGCTCACCCCAAATCTCGTGAGAGTCAGGCTGAGGTGACGGGGTCCGTGGAGTCATGTTTCGAGTTTGAGAAACGACCTCAGAAATGGATAACCCTTCGGTGCCCACAGGGGAGTTTCCTGTCATCTAAACGCTGATGTGACCAGCCGATTCATGTCTTTATCTCCCCAGCGGAAAAACCCCATCTCTCCCAGTCCAAAACCTCCTGTTCCCTCGGGCCAAAGAGCGCCCTCTAGGCCCACAGTTCACGTTCCCCCCGCACTCGGTCTGGCAGAGACCTGTCAGGTGTTTGTCTCGCATTACCTGAGCTGTGTGGTATCTGGGCAGGTACCAGGAGGGCTGTCATCCTTTCCAGCCCCACACCCCCGCCTCTGCCTGCCGCCCCCACGGCTGGTCGGGGTTCAGGGCCCATGTCTTGGAGGTGACACCGAAAAGCCTAGGAAATAGACCTCCCCTGAAAGTAACGGTCGCTGGCAGGGGACGAATGGCTGCCGTGGAGACGCAGGCTGGGCCTCAGCTTCCCATATCCCAGTGCGATTTCTTCGGAACCCTCAATATGGCTTACGAACCACCATCCCTCCAGGCCCCGCGGCCCCCCGGCACTGCCAGTCACTCTAGCGCAGCTCCGTCATCTCTGCTAGGAGGGGTCTCTTTTCAAGGCCGTTCCCCCGCGGCCCTAGGGGGACTGCGAGCTGACAAGGGTGGTGCTACCTATGTCTCTTCCTTTTCTGCTGGTGCCCTCGTGCCTGTTACAGCTGCGCTGTCCCACCTTGCAGTTCAGAAATCTGACGGTGAACCAAGGTAGAAACCGGAGTCTGTGATATAAGTATTTCAAGACTATTATTACAGGAAATCCTATATTACAATAGAGTCCCCCAGAGTAATCAGCAGATGGAGTTTCTTTGCTTTTATCGAGAATGATGTCACCTCAGAGGGGTAACAATCGGTGATCCATGCTGGAAAGGTCGGAACGATTTCTCTTTGATTGACGTGTAAAAACAAATGAGTGCTCAGACCTTATGAAAACAGGCTGTTTGCAGCTGACAATTCAGGAAACCCCATCCCGTGCATCCCGCATCCCGGTATAAAGAACTGGGGCACCCTGGACAGGGGGTTTCTGGGTGCTGGCGGGCTGGGCGGTGCTCCAGCTGCGAGCCTTCTGTTTCTTCCTTCTTTGTCGTGTTGAGGATTCACAGGCTGCCTCTGGCCCTTGGGAAGCCCTGGAAATGCCTGTCGGGGAAAGGCTGGCCGCTGACTTGTATTTACACACTTTACCATACATGGGAATCGTTCAGCGCTGACGTCAACAAATTCCTGGGGAGCTGCGTCTAGAGCCCCGTCATCACCATGGCGATTCCTGACAACCGGAAACCCAGGCAAAGGGCTCCTGTCAGTACCCAGGATGGCCTCCCTTCCCCCACCGCAGCCCACTGTGTGTGTGTGTGTGTGTGTGTGTGTGTGTGTACGTGTATGCGCGCGCGTGTGTGTGGCGTGTGTGTGTGTGAGTGTGTGCGTGCGCGTGTGTGTGCGCGTGTGCACACACACGCATGTGTTCCCTCATTTCCTCAATGGGGCTCTTTCCCAGGCTGCTCCTCTGTCCTGCAAACCTGGCTCTGAGATTCACACACGCATCAGACCTGGGGAAAGAGGAAAGCGTACCCACTGGGATATGGGAACCCCCTTTTGGGGTCTCCTCTGTCCCTCCCTGGCCATGCAGCAGAGTGAAAACCTAGGTGGGGAGTTCTCACCCCAATTCTATCCACATCATAGCAAGACCACGTCATCTTTAAATAGTTTATAAACCACTGCAAAGCACCCTGTGACGCTAATGTATTCACAAGTGGCAAGTATTTCCTTAGTGAGTTGGTCTAGAGCAGTGGTTCTTGACCTTTCACAGGGGTCGCCTAAGACCATCGGAAAACACATATTTTCGATGGTCTTAGGAACCGAGACACCACTCCTCTATCCGTCTGCAGGCCCACATGCAGATATGCCCACATACGAGTACCCGGCGACCCCTGTGAAAGGTCGACCCCCAAAGGGGTCGCGACCCACAGATTGAGAACTGCTGGTCTAGAGATAGGAAATGTAGGGGCACAAAGAAAATGGTAAACTGGTGATGGAGGCCAGTTCGGAAGGCGTCTGCCTGTGTTTGAATGGCAACTCCGCAACCCACCAGCTGTGACACCGACAAGTTACTTGTCACCTCTGAGCCTGTTTCTCCCTCTGTAAAGGCGGGTGCATGACTGCTGACCTCCTACTGTCCAACATAACAGGTGAGGGGTTTGGGCCAGTCCCTGGCACACGACAGATGCACACAGCGGCTTACTATTATCTTAAGGAAAGACCGACTCGAATACTTATGAGTTGAGTTTTGTGTCTCTTTAGATATCTGTCAGTTTGCCCGAGTATTGGCACATGGTTGAATTGGAGAAAAAGGTTCTTTTATTCTCATTAGCACCTCAAAGTGTTTACTGCATGACTCTTGAGTCCTCAAGCCAGCCAACCTCCACAATAAGCCAGGCTAGCATACACACTGAAACCTTTAGCAACCTACCAAAAAAGCCTGCCTAACTTGCTTTCCCCACCAGGACAGCCACGGTACATAACACGATGCTTTTTTCTCCTCACCTGGTGCTCAGTACGACTCACATGAAAAACTGGCTAGTGGCTGTTTGCAAGGTTTCTGAGTTCAGCAGCACAACTCAACGAAGAGCCGTACCTCCCCCACTCATCACTCACGGCCAAATATTTACTGATATTTACTGATCGCCAGCCCAGTGTCAACACTACACTCCCAGCCACAGAGGCAGATGTTTACAATTAAATAGAAAACACGGGAGCCAGGAAGGAAGAGGCCAGGGCAGGCCAGAGGCAAAGAAACGGCTGTGGCAGAGCGGGGGGCCTGCCCTTCAGTTTCTCTCCTGCATCCTCCCAGACCCTCTGACTGGGCACTGCTCCCCTCACCCCTCTCGGGCCTAAACCACCCCTTCTGCCCGATAAACTTCCTTCCCGGGCTGACCGTTCTGCCCCATATCCTCCCTGAGGCAAAGGGCCCAGCAATGATGGGATACAGGCTGCCTAAGGGCAGCTGTGGAAGGGCTCTCTGGCGAGAGGTGGCCCTGGGCTCCCAAGCCAGGATGGCTGGACAATCAGAAGACTGCAGCTGAGCCAGAGCAGGGGAGGCTCAGCACCGGTCCCAAACCCCACCTGGGGCAAACTTCCACCTTGCACTCTTAGGTGACAGTGGCAGCCAGCAACTCTGGCCGCCTTGGCTTCTGGGGGTGGGGGGTGGGGTGGGGAGGACAAGGGGAACAGTGGTTGAAGCCTAGTGTGTTCCTGGTCTGTGCACTCCATTCCCGAAGCACTATCCCCAAAAGGGGCTGAGCAAGGAGACATCACCTGTCCAAGGGCACCTTGTATTAAGTGGCAAAGCCAATGTCAGGACTCAGCAAGTCTGCCCTCTAAACCGGCCCTCACCAAGGCTCCAGGCTGCCTCTTCCTGATACACTTAATACCAGAGCCCAGTGGATGTCCTGGGTGCCACTGTCACAGGACCCCAAGGCACAGCCCTCTGCGCTGGGAAGCACCTGTCCATGGGTTCACCCCACAGAGCAGGGGGTGGGTGTCTGGAGCCCAGGCCTCTAGGGAGAGGCCTGAATAGGTCACAACAGCACAGGGACCAGGGGCTCACTGAATATCCTCCCCCGTGGAATAGATAAAACGCCTGCCTAGATGTTGCTTGTTGGGTGACATCGCCAGTTGCTTTAACTGTGCTGGACACCAGCCCCCTTCCTGATCCCCAGCCTACACAACTCCCGCTGTGGGTTCTTTTGGGCTTCCTCATGGTCCCCCACCTAGACCAGGACGCGCGTGGGGGAGGTGACACGCTGCAGCTTCCGTCCAGCTCTTCGGAAGAGTGAAAACAGATGCCCTAGGCCGGGCCACGAGGCCAGATGTCCCCCCACCCCACCCGCGGGCACGCTCTCCCAGGCGGAAGGGCGAGGGAGGGGGTGGCACGGACGCCCTCGTCCCCCTGCCGTGCCATGAGCGTCAGGGGCGCGCAGAATCGCCCATTGTTCTGTTCCGGGACCTGCAGGCGGCGGAGGTGCCAGGCGCGGCGGTTAGGACACGTGGGAGCCCGGCGGGGAAGGACCCAGCGTCTCCCCGAAAGAGCAGCGCCGTGGGGCTGAGGCCACTCCTCCCCACCCCGCGCCCGCAACGCCGCCACTTTTCCTTCCAACTCTCCTGGCAGCTGCCCCGGCCACGGCGGGCGGGAAGGGCCCGGAGGCTCCCGGGGCGCGCGGTGCGGGGGGCGCCCGGGGGGACCGGGGCGCACTCGCGCGGAGCCGGCTCCGGCGGGGGTCGCGCGGCCCGGGGCGCATGCAGCGGATGCGCTCACCTGGCGCACTCACCTGCTGCGGGCTCGGGCGGCGCGGCGGGAAACGCGGTGGAGCGGCGGCCTGGGGTGCCCGCGCGCGCGGTTTTTATTCGGCCGGGAAGGCGGGTCCCGGCCACGCCCACCTGTGGCCTCTGCACACTGCACCACACCAGGCTGACGTCAGGGCGCCGAGCCCCGCGGCGCTGCTCCCCCGGAGCCCCGCGGCGCCCACGGCGGGGCGGGCGCTCAGGCCCCACCTGCCCCTGTGGACCCACTATGAGCTCGGAGCCTCTCAGGGTTTTCCTACCAGCCAGATGGTAAGGTGGGCATGTGCTCTGAGATCCCTGATACACTTGTGCCCCAAGAGAATGGGTGGGGTGGGGTCTCACATTTGCGTGTCCTGGTGGCAAGGTGTATGGGACACTTGGGTGTCGTCCGAGCTCTGAACCTGCTTCTGCCCCTTACTAGCTGAGCCCTCGGCCTAGACACTTAGTCCCTCTTGGGCTTCAGGTCTGCGTCTGTGAGCGGAGTAACCCCCAGGGACGGCTGGTGGATAAAGGGAGAGCCTGTAGCACGTCCGCCTTCAGCAGTGGCCTGCCATATGTTAGATGCTCAGTAAACGCTAACTGCTCCTGCAGCTGTTCCTGTCCCCTCGGCTGTCCCCAATCTTCCCTGCTATCCAAAGAAGAACGCCCCCGCCCACCCCAAAAGCAGCAGTTCTGAAAAGTGGGGACCTCCAAGCTTCAGTATACAGACACACATTTTCCACCCCAGACAGAGGTCGAAGGCTCGGGCTTTCAACCTCAAGTTGCTGAATTAGCTCTCTTCCAGGAAGAAAAGTCAAGCATCTTATAATCCAGAAAATAAAGCACTTATCTAGGTTTTTCTTGCTTTCTGCCACCAGAAAGCTTTTGGCCGGGCCCTTCCTGTAAACAGGGCCTTCCGAGATGAAAACATCTAGAAGCACCAAACCAATGCTCCTTGCAAGATGTAAGAGGAGAATTCCTGGTCAATCCTGCACTGACCAAGCAACAGACAAACAGGTACATGAATTAAATTCCAGAACAACCATGGGCTTGCTGCTCAAAGGTCGAGCTCTCCTGAGGTTACCCTGCCTCCCTCTAGTTCTCGGGATTCTAAAGAGGTGAGTCTCGCCCCAGATTTTACAGAAGGGCTAACTCCTGTGTTTCCTTCTTTGGTCTGGGTTTGTCCCCAGAGTCATGAGACAGCTGATGGAATTTCCCAGCGAGGACGTGCCCACCTGTGCTATGAAATGTCCCAGGGAAGGTCCAAAAAAGGAGAGCGATACGACAGTCACCCACACAGGGTCTTAAAGCATCTTGTAGATAGGGAGGCTGTATAATGTGTCATTGAAACTGGAATGCTTGTGATAGTGAATGGGATAGTGACAGCACAGGCAGATGTCAGAGATACTGCGGGCTCGGTCCAGACCACTGCGATACAGTGACTTCTCAATAAAGCGAGTCCCACGAGTGTTTTGGTTTCCCAGCACATATGAAAGTTATGTTTATATGTAGTCTATCAAGTGTGCAATGGCATATGTCTAAACAAACAATGTATGCACTTCAATTAAAAAAAAGACTTTGTTGCTAAAAAATGGTGACCATCATCTGAGCCTTCAGGGAGTCCTAATGCTTTTGTTGGTGGAGAGTCTTACATTCAACTTATAAAAAAATGCGGTATCTGCAAAGTGCAACAAATGAGGTATGCCTGTCCTTCTAATTACAGTAAAACCACAGGCCTGCCCCAGGCAAAGCGGGACGTATGGTCACCCTGCATGTCCACCCAGAGACTGCGTCAGGGCACACGTCTCAGGAACTGTCCAGACAGAGCTGGAGATAAAGGTAACCGAGAAGGCCCCACCTTGTCTGCTGTTTTTCCAGAGCCTCCCACTGTTTGGTCCAGCCGACCCTCTGGGCTTGGGCTGGGACAGCCCGTTTGAGAAGACGCAGGGGTCAGGGAGGACGTCAGGTTGAGATGACCAAAGGTGTGCCAGGGTTACCACCACACAAACAGGGCTGCAAACAGGCATGACCCGATGCCGAAATCGCAGGAACAGCATCAGTACCTGAGACGTCACACATGCCGACAGCTCCCTGGGGCAGAGATACTCCTACTGTCGGATCTCAGTTACGTAACTGTGGCCAGGTTGCACCCACCCACCCACACACACACACACACCAGCAGCCCCACCTCTGCAGGGACAGTGCAGCCAGCGCCGCTCTGTGTGACTCTGGGCCAGCACGGGCTCACGGGGGCTCTGAGGCTCTATCCAGCCCTGGGTCTTCCTGGGTCTGGCTCTGAGCTCTGATGCTCTGATGAGGTGAGTCAAAGAGGGGGTCGGGACCCTTGGTCCCCTCCAGGAGGGGTCCTAGAACCTCTGGGGTGGCAGGAGAAGTGAGCCTGACTGCCGGGGGCAGACACAGAGGCAGGGAAGTCCGGGTGTCCATGTCAGGAAGACAAAATGCTGGCAAGCAGGAAAAGGGGACATCCTCCTGCAAAGGAACACAGGGGACACTACAGGGGGTTCCCCATCGGGTTCACTGTGAGGCACCGAGAATGTTCCAGGGGACCTTGAAACTTCAGGAACTTCCTCACAGGAGGCTCCGGGTCAGGCCCTCAAGGACTGTGAAACTGGCTGGGTACCTTTTTAAATAACCGTTTCCTCTCCCCCACCCCTGGGCCTGAGGTATGCAGGGCCACTTCCCCTCCTGCTCTCTGCAGTGCAGCCTCCAAGCCACAGCCTCTGACAGCAGCCTGGCGGGTGGGGTGGCGTCCACAAAGTGTGGACCAGATCACGGGGCAGCTGGGAGTGAAAGGGAAAGGGAGCCCGGGGAACTGTGCGTGCCCGTGCTCTGAGCCCCACTGGCCTGGGGAGAACTGGCCACAGGTGGCCGAGGGCCCCGAGAGGCTCCTCTGACGGACGTGGTTCCAGCCCCTGCAGCCCCCTTGCTCCTGACCTGTCTGTTTGGCTCCTGCACTAAGACCTCTGTATGCCATTGTCCCGTCTGGGTCTCTCCACTTTGCTGCTCCCACGTTCTGTGTGGCCATCTGGCCAGACAGCAGAGGTTTAAGGCAGTGACGCAGATTGGAAATGACTGAATTTCAGGCAAGACCTTTGCCACCCTGTCCCACCAGAGTCAAAGGTATGAAGTTAGACTCTGAGATAGAAAAAAGGATTGCTGACTTGTGGAGGCAGCAGTCCCAAGGGAAGCCAGAGTCAGAGCTTCCTGGCTGGGAAGGTCTCGGAAGGCAGGGCTGTAGCTTACTCTCCTTTGCAGCTCACGCAATGCCTCCCCGGGACCTGGCGCCTTGTTAAAATTTTATGAATTAATTCATCTCGGCATTTGCAGAGCGAAAAACAGGAGCTGGGCTGCCGCCTGCTGGTGAAGTTGTGAATGACGCTTCTCCGCGGCCCGGGCCGCCTAAGGGACCCTTCACTCCGCAACCATGAAGAGCCCCGGCTTGGACGCTCCTTTTCTCCCAGGGTCACTCGATACTTAAACTCTTCTGACTCCCACGCGACACATGCTAGGCTTCTGGCAGAGAAGCTGAAAATGTCCCGGGACACTGGTCAGAGAAAAGGCCTCTGCAGGTAGCGGACGCTGTTCTAGAACCCAGAGCGCTCCCCTCCCCACTGGCAAACGCCCTCTCCCCACGCTCCGTGTCCCTAGCGTCCCTCCAGACCGGGGCGCGAGCACCCACTCTGTGACAAGCGCTGCGCTGGGGGCCAGGAGTACGTGACGCGGGACTTCCCAGGGAGAGGGGAACGGAGCGCACAGCGGATGTGGTCTGGGAGCCGCTCAGGCAAAACGCTGGGGGGCTCCGGAGGGGCGGGGCTCAGGAGGGGGGCTCCTCGCGGGGGATCAGGGACCCTGTACTTGCGCTGATGGCCGGGCGGAGGAGCTGGACCATAAGAGGGTCAGGCACTTGACATGCGGAGATGGAGGGATCCTATTGCTGCATGATGACTCACCCCCCCAACTTAGCCGCTGAAAACAACAGTCATTTCTTTTTCTCTCTCACTGTTCTGGGGTCCCCTGAGCTCAGCTGGCCGGACAGACCTTTCTCGCTCAGGACCCATCCTGCGACTGCCATCGGAGGAGAGTTGGCTGGAGTCACCAGGGCGGCTTCCTCACCCACATGGCTGGTGGCTGAGGCTGGCTGGCAGTTGGGGCCGTCAGCTGGGACCCCCTACATGTCTCCCCACGAGGCCTGGACTCCCCCACATGGCCGTTGGGTTACAGGCCAGCATGCCAGAGGGAGTCAGGAGGAGTTGTCCTGCCCTTTGCAACCCAGCCTGGGAAGGCACACAGCAGAACTTCCCCTGGGCTGTCCCACTGACACAGTCACGGAGCCCCAAGCAGCTTCATGGAAACCCACCTCTCCACGTGTGAGTGGCAGGTACCGCCGGAAGGGCGGGTGGAGGGGGACAGAGCATGCAGCCCTTCTTGGAAAACACAGTTTGGCACAGGCAGGAAGGTAGGTCACTGCGGGGGGGTACCTCCATTGACAGCGCATCTGGAGATGCATTTTCTTTTTCTTTTTTTGTTTTTAAAGATTTTTTATTGGGGAATTGGGGGAAGGGGAACAGACAAGTTGCTGTCGTCTTGTTCTTCAGTCTAGTTGTGGAGGACGTTGCTTCACTGGCTCAAGTTGGCACCATCATTGTGCTCTTCCCAAGCGAGGCAGATCAGTCGCCGGCTTCTGGCTACACACGGTAGCCCATGGCAACCCACTGCCACAGGGGCTGCAGCCTATGCCGTGGCCAGCGACTCACGGCAGCCCAGCTCCAGGTTGAGCTGTTGTTCAGCATCTTAGCTGTGGAGGGCAGTGTCACTGGCCCTCATATGTGGGATCCGAACTGGGGCCCTCTGGCGTCCCAAGCCAGCTCTTAACCAACGCACCACTCGGCCGGCCCATGGAGATGCATTTTCTAAGACCGTAAAGATTCTGGAAGACTTGGGTTTCATCCCCTGGGTGTGCAAAGTGACTTTTAGGGTACCTGATCACAGGTGCAAGTGCTCTAGACGTCAGCTTTCTCAGTAGTGGTTTTCCTAAGAGCCAAATACCAACCTGTCCCACGGACAGGAAGATATTACAGCCAAGATTATCATGGTAGCCCCAGGTGTCAGGGGACCTCAGACCCCACAGTAAATGAAGAAATGAGAGCGAGGGGCTGGGTTTTCTTTCTCTCTTTTCCTTTCTCCTGGTTGAGTGGCGGAGCTTGGCTGGTGGTGCAGTGCTGCTAGCGGTTTCCCGAGTTTAGGTTCAAGGAGATTGGCAGCGGGAGTTTTCCAGGCCACAGAGGCTGAAGGACCTGCTACTTGTGTGTCTCACTCCTCCCAGAACCTCAGTCTGAGTTTTATTCTAATTGCTTCTCGGTCTCATCAAAGGCGCTCCAGATGAGGAGATTCTGAGCGGGGGTGTTTCTTCCCACCCCTCCCAGACGGATTGCAAGGTTTTTCCAATACTCCATCCTCCCTGGGGCTACAGAGAGAACAGCGCCAGCAGGGGTCAGCAGTGGGACACATCTGGCCGGAGCCACTGCCACATGTGCTGTGTCTCCTGGCCCCGCTGGAGCTGATCTGGACCTGAAAGCACCTTCTGCTGAGGCCTTGGCACCACTCTGAGCATCGCCACCTTCTCCTGAATGTGGCGGGGGGTGGGGGAAGGCAGAGGCCGCTGAGTCCAGACGTCAGCCATGCCAAGCCACCATCTGGTTTTCTACCGGGAGGTTTTATGTGAGTTGGCACGTGCGATGCATTGTGTGCAGGTCTGGATGTCAGAGGACGTGTGTCTTGGATTTGCCTTGTTGAAGTTTCCTGAGACCTGGGGTTTCTGGATTCGCTGTGCCCAGGCTCGCCTTGGATGGGCCATGCCTCACAGCCGTGTCCCACGGTGCCCGCCAGTCCACGCCCCACGCAGGCTGGGCTGGGAATGGAGTTCTCTCAGGGCAGCCATTAGTGGCCGAAGCCACATGATAGCCTCATCCTCCTCGGGTCCCACGCCCAGACGTCTCCCAGCCCGTCCTATGGGCCACCCTGCTGCTCAGCTCCACAGCACCCCCACCTCCCAGGAGAGCTGGAGGGGCCCCATTCAAGACTTCCGTGGCCCTTCATGTGGTGGGGTGGGTGGCCAGAGAACCATGGACAGCCTAAGGGACAGCGGCACAGCTGGAAGCAAGTCTGGGCTGGAGGAGGGGCCCAGTCTGTAGCTGAGACTCCCAGGGTCCCCAGCACCTTCTGGGCAGCCCCACGTGCTGCTGTGACGGGCAGATGCCAAGCCCTTCCACCTGCCTTTGGAAAGCAGCAGTTGGGCCAAGTCCTGCTTTCTCAGGAGTAGAATTACAGCAGCTGATGTAGACCACAGGTGCAGCGGGGGCAGCTGGGCCTGTCGCTCACTCACACGCCCTGGAGCTGGGGGAGTGAGTGCACAGGCCGCGGAAACTGGGATCAGCATTCAGAGCGCCTTTTCCTGGAAATCCCAAGGTGGGACCCCCGGCCAGGCTGCGCCACAGCCAGCCTCGCTCGGGAGCCCGTGGCCTGGTTCCCCCGCTCGTCTCGCTGCCCAGCCCGTGGTTGCAGCCAACTCCTCTCCCTTTCCTGGTGCCTCAGCTCAGGCCTCTGCAGGATGGAGCTCAGAATCTTGGCTCTTGGTGGCTCCCCCACAAAACCGGGAGGGAGGGCTTGGAAGGATGGCTCTGTGTACATGCAAATGATTTGGCATTTTAGTGCCTCAAACCACAGATCAGTTAAAAAGACAGGGCTCCCAGCCTGTTAGGCACTAGGTCCTCCATCTTCTCATCAAGCCCTCCCAACAGCCTGGTCAGGCATGTGTTGCAGGGTGATTTCTGTTTCATGGGGGAGACACCATGGTCATGGTTACACAGCTAAGACGCAGCAAACCTGGGCTTGACTGCAGCCCTGACTCCAAGGCTCGGACTCCATCCCCCGGGCACACTGCCTGAAACCACCTGTCCCCTGGATGACCCCTCACCTGGCCCATCCCTTCTTTCCCAGACTTTCCCGCTGAACCCCGCCTCATCCACCCTGCTCACCGCAGCCAACGTCACCTCCACAACCTCTATTGCCACGGTTGGCAACTCAGCCCCCCGACACCTCCAAGCACCAGTGGACACCACAGCCTCCGAGTCCGCATGAGGCCGACACCAGCACACACCCTCTGGCCCCCTGCCCAGCCTGCCCCCCGCCCTGGCCCTCTCGTGGGCCCGAAACTACTTCCTTGCCTCTATCTCCCGCCTTTCATTTTTCCCCATTGCGCATCTCCTACTTTATCCCCTTCGGACACGTCTTAGTGTTTTAAGAACATTCATTGATGTAAGAAAATGCTCACAGAACATACTAGGAGTACGCACAATTTTATTTGCCACGGGACGAGGAACACATTCTCCTTGTGAGAACAACAACGCCTCAAACATACAGCAGAGCGTCACGACTCGCTTGATGGCAGTCGCCAGCAGTGACCCCTGTTGCCAGTTTGCAGTGACATATGGACTGAGGAAGCTTTGGGGGTGTTGGACAAGTTCTAAAACGTGGCTGTGCACGTGACGGGTTTACTACAAATCATAGACGCGCACCCTTACAACTGCATTTTATAGTGTGCAAACAACACCTCCACAAAGCTGCGAAAAAGAGAGAGATGTCCTGAAGCCGGAAGGTGACGACCGTTCGCCACAGCCCACGCGGCTGTGCCGGCCACCTGCCTTTGTACACATAGCACTTAAACACATGGACTCAGGAGCCAGATGCCTGGGTTCAGACCCCGGCTCCAGCACCCACAGGCTGTGAGACCCAGCCAAGGTATTGACCTCAGTTTCTTCACCTATAAAACGGACCTGAAAATGATACCTGTTTCGTAGGGTTGCTGCCAGGACTCAATGGGTTAATATATGGCAAGTGCAAAGTAAGCACTAACTGGCATTCATTCCCCTCTCCACGTTGCCACAGCAGAACTTGGCTACTTAAAGGGGAATGTTTGTGCCTGCCGACCCCACCCCGACCCTCCTGGCCCTCAGAGAAAACACCTCTCTTCCAAAGCCATCTTTGGAAAAACACTGTGATGGCTTTCAGCTCATGTCACTTCCTGGTAACAGAGAAAGGGAGGAACGTGTGTTCCCGATAAGGCAGTGACTCGCTCACTCTCATAAAACACTCACCACTGTGCCAGCTTGTCCCCACAGGCTGTTTCTCCCTGGTCCTCGTGACACAGAGGGAGGGCCCTTCGTGCTGGGGACCCTGAGGCCAGTCCTGGGGCCAGAATGGCCACAGAGCGGGACATGGTTTTGCCCTGTGCCATCCCACCAGCATGAAGCCCCTTGCTGGCTAATGAGTCGACCTAAAAAGGACAAGGTTGTCAGCGGATGGTCAGAGCTCCATCACTCAAACACGGGTTTTCAGGCACTGAGCCCTCAGCCAGAGTGCGCTGACTGGGTGGGGGTCTGGGACAGGAGCAGGTACCGTGTTGGATGACCTCACCTCTGTTCCTATGTGCCCAGCACTGTGTAAGCCACTTTCTCCTCTGTCATCTCACGAAACCTCCCCTGAGCCTTGCCAGTACTCACTGTTGTCCCCCGGGTGTCAGCACCCCGTTACTGGTGAGCCGACTGAGGAAAGGGCTTTAGCAGGCAGCCAGCCCTAAGCGTGGACTCCCAGTGTTTTTCCACTGTGCTTGAGGGGGGAGGGGATGGCGCAAGATCAGCGCTCCCTCCGAGGCTTTAATGACATTTAGTAAATGCTCAAGAAAATAGAGCATGTGCTGTCCTCATATCCTGCCACGGTCCCTCCTGGGCCACAGGGAAGGGGCTCTGACTGCTGAATCCCACCAGTCCAGCCAGAGCCCCCAAGCACTGAGACCTCAAGGGGACAGGAGAACAGGCAGACACCCCCCCCAAGGAAATTGGGCTGGGCCTGAAAGTGTCACTTACTACACTTCCTGGGGTCCCAAAGCTCATCTCAAGCCAGCTCTGAGACACTGTGGGGGCCACAGGCTGATGTATGAAAACCCATTTGTCACGCTGACTTTAATCCTCTTGTTAACAATCTCCTGCCCCCACGTGGATGGACAAGGGGGACACAGGAGCTGCTGAGTGCTTGGGAGTCTCAGTAAGGTCAGCAGGTCCTGGAGGCCACCTTCTGGGTGAGTGGGTGGGGGCGGGGGACACAGTGAGTGACCAGGGTCCCCCTGCAGTGAGCCCGAATCTGCCTGCTCCTGTCACGCCCCAGCCCCCCCCACACACACACAGCCAGGCCCTTGCTTTCACCTCTTATTGATTTTCATATTTAAGGAAAATCCATTTGCTTGATTCAGAGCAACTGAGTCATCGCCGTGTCCAGAGGCAAACCACTCACTAAGTGGGTACTTGGCAGAGGCCCTGTCCAGGACGGGGGGCCCCTGCTCACAGTCCGGCTTCTCTCTGTTGCCCTGTGCCAGCTACCCTGTTTCAGGGGCCCGCACATCCTCTGCCCTTCACCCCAAGCAGACTGGCCCGTTGGCTCCCTGCCCCCCAACCTGCCCACCCACATGCGGCTGTGTTTATCTGCTGTACTTCACTGTTGGAGGTTTGTGCGTGGGGCACTTATAACAGGGTTCGGGGGACTTGTACGAGCGGCCCCTCATAGATGGGGGAGATTTAACCTTACCAATCACGGCTTCGGCATTCTTTCCCATTCTGGGTGGCACCCAAGGCCGGAAGGACAGTGCCCAATGTCACCAGCCCGATCAGTAGGGCACTTCCTCAACGCCACTGTGAGTCCACTGTCTAGTGTCCCCCCCAGGCCCACGGCCCCTGTGACCGGATGGGGACTCAGGCAGGCCTCAGGGGCTCTCGTGCTGCCTGGGCACCCCACTAGCTGCTGTCGCTGGCACGGCTTTCAGAGACGCCCCGGGAGCAGGCGTTTTTGCTTTCTGTCCCTCAACCCCCCCCAACCTCCAGCCGCAGGGCCCTGGAAATGAATCACCCCTCGTGTTTGTCAGCTGGAGCTGGGAAGTCTTTGATCCCAGGCTGCCGGGTCC